CTCACGGCACGAGTGCTGATTGATATGCAGTGTGTACTGGGCCGTTACAAGTCGACGTAAGTTGCCTTTGTTTTGAATCAACTAACTGTTTGTTTTTTATTCGCACATACTTTTTGCTTTATATGTGCCGTTTATTCACACCGATTACGATAGCCTTTCTCGTCAGCCAGTTAGGTTTGGCGATAACAGCAAGCATTTTGACCAAAGGCCACTTTCCGGTCACAGTAGTTCGCCGGGACTGCCAATGACTACCAATTCCCGAAGGGAAATTTTGACTTGCAATTGGAATGGACCCAACCTTAGCCACAGACCGCCGCCTACGCATGCCAGGACGCAGCTCTTTGCGCGCTCACTACTAAATCAGACTCCGCAAAGATTTATCGGCTTTGCCATTCGAGTTCACACATTAGTCGAAACGGTTTCCAAGACGCGTCATTCCTGTGAGCACACTCCAACGTAACTGGTCCCCAGGTGAAACCAGAGTACCATAGCTACTCCTTGCACCATCTTTCTGTTATGACTGCCAAACCGCCAAATTCACCAACCCTTACTCCTCACGCGAGTTTGATCTAACGTCCACTCCCGCCCTCGGGAGTAAGTTATCTATGTTGTTGTTTTCTGATCCGACTAGTAGGCAGAAAGAGGCAAGAGAGCGCTTCTGATAGGCAATGGCTTAATTCAGCAGCACACAAAGACAGTGGGGCTTGCGGGCTCCTTTAGTTTGTCCACTTCGGCATACTTAAATCGTTCCGGTCTTTCGAGAATATTCCTGGCGTATAGTGTGCGCCTAAGCATTCTATAACCATCTCGACTACGGCCACTGCTCCCGCTATGCGGATGGTCGTCTCATTTGCTCGACGTACCGCGTGGGCGGCTTGACTGCGGGCATGACTCATCAGGTCTATCCTTTTCGCCGACTGCCGTGAATGCATGGGGGGTCTGCCTCCGTAACAGTCTAATAGATAGAAGTCAAATATTTTGTTAACATGAGGATAAGATGGCCTCGGACGTTAGCTCGTCCAACTAATTATGTCGTGGCGACCGCCAGCTAAGGACGTGGCCATTGTTGACCGCACGCAAGGTGACTCAATTAATCTCGAGAATCGCGACCGAATTACTATTCGTTTCTTGACTTGGTGTATCCATTGTTGAGGTTTGTACTTTGATTATCCTTTACTATTTGTTTAATAGTACCGTACCACCTTGATAGTTGTTATCACTGGTTTTGGCGTACGCCTGACTTCTGCCAGAATAAAGATAGATCTGTCGTTCGATCTATCGCAATGTGTTAAGGCTAAGACGGTCAAATCCTAACAGTCACAATCTTCCAGGCCCGGTTCCTTAGGAGAGGAGAGAAGACGGTGGGAAGGCCAGAGTGCTAGGAACGATATATTGTGTACAGAAGAGTTAGGAGGAAGTTGCCACTCGGTTGGGCATGGCGTTCGCCGTGAGGGCCGTGTGAGAGTGCGGTGTCGTCGCGACCGTCCCACTCGAGACGGAATCCCAAGTGTCATCTGGTCAGAAGCCACCGCCTGGTTGCAGCCTTGAAGGTCATTGATTTGACCACGCGTGGACGCATTATTAGGTCGCCCGTCAGTGCGTCTGGCGGTAGCCACGGCCTTGAGGTTTTTCCAGACGGATTGAGGTCACGTCACTGTGACTTGAGGTCAGA